GTTAAGAAGAACCGCCTACAACCACACGCAGCAATATGGAAAAATCTCACAAATGAAAGAAGCCAGCTGTGTTAGAATATATATTGTACAAGTCCATGCATATAATGTTCCCAAAACTCATAAAATTTATCTATATTGTTAGAAGCTAGGATAGTGGTTACCCGTGGAGGCTGTAGTGACCAGAGGGGAGCATGGGGGCGGAATAGGGTGGGGCAGACGGGGTAGGGTTGGAATCAGGGTGCGGATGGAGGCGGGTAGCGCAGTATTCTTCACCAGGGTGTTGAAGATTGAGCTAGCTGCACAATTAGGCCTTTTTAGAAAACGTTGCTGTTATTAATCCGTTACTTACAGTCCAGGTAGGTGTAAAAAAAAAAAAAAATCACCCTTTCAACACCACAAATGTGGTTTTGAACCCTCCTCGAGACTCGCTCCGGGGTCCTGCGGACTCCCCAAAGTGCATCCACCAAAGCGCACCCCGGATGTTCTACCTCAGCACCACGGCGCTGGGCCTGGCTCCACCCCCAGGCTGGCGTGATCCGGAATGTTGGCTCTTCCAGTTTGGACGCTCTTCCCGACAGCTGGCCAGGCTCTCCCGGGCCATGCTGGTGCGCTTCCAGCCGGCTCCGACCGCTCCGGGCCTGCCTGGGTGGCAGCTAACCCCGCACCTGCGTTGCCCTGGCGGTTCCGAGGGTCCGTTCCCTTCGCGCGGAGCTAGACTGCGGTCTGTCGCTGAACTTTCCAGTCACGGACGGCCTCTGTCCTGCCAGGGCGCTGGCCCCTGGAGTCCGACTAGGAGCCGGGAAGTCCTCTCAGGGGCCCTGAACCATAAAGCAGAGCAGGAGGCTGAGGCTGAGCCCAGTAACCACTCCGCCTCCTGCAGGCGCATTTCTCCGGGGAAGCCCCCCGCTCACGCGGTCCTATCCCAGGGTAGATGAGCGGCCCCAGGTCCCCACTGGTTCTCACCGGGTTTCCCTTGCGGACCCCTTTCATCCCGAGAGCGTTGGGCTAGAGCGGACTTGTGGCCCGACTTGCAGCGTTCTTTTATCTTTGCCCTTCAGTCTAATTCCCAGGGAGTGGCCAAGGTCAAACTCTCTGCTAAACGTTCTCAACCCTGCAGGCTCCACCCGATGCCACCTGGGGTTACTAGCAAAGGCACTGTCACTGTCAGGTGTCTGTCTGACAGGCCCACCATACTGGAGTTCGGAATCATCAGGATTCTGCTGCCCTGCAGACCTGGTTCTCAACATACACACATCCTAACCTCACTAGACTTGCACTAAGCTACTTTCTTTTTTTTGCACTAAGCTACTTTCCTATGGATCATCTCACTTAATTTTCAAAGCCAAGGAGATTGGTACATATGGCGTTGTATATGTAAATGTCTGCATTTTACTGTAGGTTTTAAAAAAAGACAGAGAGAGAGAGGCACTATAAGCATATCTATCCATTTTATAGAGGAGGAAACTTAAGTTCAGAGTTCTTCCAGGTCGATACTGGTTGTGGTGGTGGCACTGAAGTTAGAAAGGAGGCAGTCTACATCAAAAGTTATCTTTCTAACTCAAGATCAGACTTTGCAGGGGGGAAAATGCTGGCCTTTTAGAATCTATTCCACCTCTCCCACCAGTGACGGCTGCCCACCTCTGAGCCGGTGTGGCACAAGTCACTGGGGAGAAGGGGGTAGTTACACAGCCATTCTGGGAAGCAAAGAGGGTTTGAGTCAGAAGTGTCTTTTGCAAGCATAGACTCCACCATCCTCTGCCTTAGAGCTCAGAAAAGAGAACCCAGAAAGACAACTTACAGGGCCTCCTCAAAGCCTCAAAGGTTGTTAGAAGACCTGCCTGAATTTTAGGATTCCTCCTGGTTCACAGGACAGTTTTGTGAAGCAACAGTTTGGGCCTAGTAGGAGTGTGTTTTCCTCCTAGGGAGGGAATCCAAAGATGTAACTGTGTTGGTCAAAGGTTTCATCCCTGATGTTCCTAGTGCTGGGGCCCCAGCAATGACCAGTACGGAAATCCTTCAACAAAGTAATGGGAGCTATTTATACCCAGAGTCTGCAGGCTCCAAAGCAGGATAGAGAGTGGGAAGAGGGCTGCTCCAGCCTAGTTTTAAGTATCTTAAGACACGCAAACCACTTGGCAGCCAGTCTCCAGAACCAGCTGTTTCATCCATGAGGGTCACACACCTTTTTAGAACAGGAGAGGATGCAGAGTGAAGGAAGACTAACGTAGGCCAGGAGGAAGCTGGGCAGGGAAGGTGAAGATCAGGTTCAGGGAGCATGGGAGAGGCCACCTTCTAGTAGGATGCTGGACTGGGTTGGAGGAAAAATAGCTGCTTATGTAGGAAACTCCCTAGACAAGAGGGGAGGTGCTCTCAGAGACTTCTGCTCCTAGAGCCCACACACTGAAATCCTGCCTTGAGAGTGACCAGCTGGGTCTTGCTTGGCTACTATTCTTAACACCTAGTAAATATGGGGAAGCTCAATTTCATCCCAGACCCTGCTGTTTGCCTTATCTCCAAGATTTCCCCAACCCCTAAACTTTGTATCCTAGTGTCAAGGTCTTTACCAAGTCCTCACTCAGCCTCCTAGATTCTGATCTGTAGGATGAAGTGCAACATCTCTTAGGGGTGTGGGGGGAAAGCTATGTCCCCAGATGGCATCTTGGGGTTACAGAAGGCAGGATCTAGCTCTGGGATTGGGATGGGTTGTCACATGTCCAGCCTAGGTCCAGGTAAGTCCAATTTAGCCTCTCACAGCCAGTGCCCAAGGCCACAGGTTGACACCATTAAGGCTATCTGCTATGCTCTAGGGCAAGAGGGAAGGAGCCTAAAGGGCATCTCATGGCCCTCTTACCCCATGATACTCCTACCCCTCCTATAGTGATATCTGTCCCCAAGGGGAAAATGCTAGCATGGCCCTCCCTTGACTTTACACGGAGGGCAAGAGACAAATATTTGCATCACACCAAAGTACCTAAGACTCTGGTGGCACAAATGAGGGAGTCATTAGGAAAAAGGGTTCAGGAAAGAAGCTTGGCCTTGAACTAGGAGCAAGAGCTCACCAGAAAGATGAGGATGACAGGGCATACCAGACCAGGGTAGAGTGTGCGCAAAGGCTCAGAGGCTGTTTGGATTTGCTTCCTTTTTGTCATTTGGGCATCAACTTCAATGTGATCTCAACAGGCTTTCCCTGACCACCTGCTCTCAAAGATCCCATCTCCTAGCATTTGGTCCTATTTCCTTTTTAGAACTTATCTACTTTTTTAAAACATTTATTTGGTTGTTGTCACATTCTACCCCATGCACCTGAAAGGAAACTCTACAAATCTACAGACACTTTTTTTTTTACAGTTCCTAATATGCAGAACAGTGCAAATAAATATATAACATATGCTCAGTATACATAGTTAACGAATGAATGAAACAGTGAGTCTTGTGCAGATGCAAGCAGTGAAGAGCCAGGGTAATAAGAAAGCAAGAATTCCCTCCCCAGCCCTCGGCGCAAGCAAGCCAAAAGAAGATGACCAGCGGCATTGGGGTGGGGGGAGTTGGTAAGAAGGAAACAGTGTGTTTGTGTGTGTGTGTGGGGGGGGGGTCGGTCCTGTGGTGATAGGGTGAGAAGAGGCGTCGTCCCAGCTTCTGGGCTACAAGAGAGGAGGAAACTGGCAAAGATGTGCTAAGGACAGCGGTCTGGTGCACTAACTGACCCGGCTCTTTCTGCCGCCCGACAGAGCCTGGGAGGGAGGATCTTCGCCCCCCCAAACTTCGGTTCTCCAGTTTCCCGCTAGGCTCTTTTGGACTAGTTCAAGTCGCATCCTGGGCGGTCAGGGGGTTTCGCAGGGCTCCCTTTCCTGCCTCCCTACCTCCTTCCCTCCCTTCCCTCCTTTTTTCCTGGTCCTCCGTCTTTCCAGCTCCCCAGCCAGGCGGCCCAGTAGCAGCCTAGCAGCCCCCACCCCCTCCTGTAAGGGCGAAATTGCTAAACTTGTAGCAATAATGACCCTGCATTCAGGCTGTCGACTCCCGCTGAAAGTCTCCGCGCCCCCGGCCCGCCCGGCCTAATCAGCGCGCCCCTCCCTGCCGCCCCCCCCGGGCCCCCCCCCCCCCTTCCTCTGGCCGCCCCTTCCCCCAGTGCACAAAAAATGGGGAACAAAACCCCCGCGCATTTCTCCGTCCCTCTGTTGAGCAGACTGCTGCACAAAGCCCCCGCTCTGAGAAGCAATGGGGAGCTCGGGGGGGACGTCAATCCGACGCGCTAGGGTTTTTGTTCGCGCAGGGGACCTCGCCTTCCTACCACACCTTTTGTTCGGGACTCCAATAAAAAGCCATTCTTTCCGCACCTTCCCGGCCCAGAGCCGCCTTTCAGCGAGGCCCGGCCCCACAATGGTGCGGCGCTCTGAGGCCTCCTCATTCACCCGCCTTGGCACGCTCACAATCGGCCGTGTGGCAGCACAGGCCTCGCACAGGCATTCTCCGCAAGTGACAAGGAGCTGCATAAAGCCGCGGCCGCCGGGGGAGAAGGGAGGGCGGCCGAGGGGGAGAGCTTGTCCGCGGCGGGGCGCAGCGCAGCGCCCCCGGGAGCGCTGGAAGCCCTGGCGGCAGTGGAGGAAGGCGCTGTCTTCGCGCTGCCAGGGGGACGAGGTTTCCTCTTCCTTACCGACTTTCGAGGTGGGGCAGTTTAGGCCTTGACCTGGGAAAGTCCAGACAGCTAATTCAAGCATCTGGGTAAAATTTGGGGGCATTACAAAGCCAGGGACCTCAAAACGCCCGGAGTCTGCGGCCTGTCCTCCCAACAGCAGTAAAGAGAATTAATGAACAAAGCCAAGAAAGAACAGACTTTGGAGCCTGGGGTCTGGCTCAGGGAAGACCAGGCCTGAGCTCTCCCAGGAAAGACTGTTTTCCCTTATGCACTTTTTCCTTCCTTTCCTGTCCCATTTAAGGGACCCATCCCTGTTCTGTTGGGCTAAACAGCCTACCTAGCCAGTGCTTTGGAAATATTGCACCTTGTTTATTGATTCCTGTAGTGTATGGCAGCGGGTGTGTACACGGCATGTGGATATAGTTATATATAGATAATATGTGCTCAATACAGAATATGAAACAGAAAGGAAATCTGGTGACACCTCCGGTGGGCCACCAGGTCCTGGGTTAGTTCAGCGCAGCCTCCCCCGCACCCCCGACTTTGGATTTCACTGGGCTGGTTTTCCTTGCAGAGTCCTTCGATCCGGAGAACCGGGCTGAAGTTTTCACTACGAGGACAGGCAGGTGGAAAATGAAAATTAACTGTGATGTAGCCCTTCGGGCCCCTGAAAAGGGAGCAGAGCATCCGTGGAGAGCCTGGGATTTCTCAAGCCGAGGTCCTGTTCTCTTTTCTTGCCTTTATTTCTTTTCTTTTCAGTTTTGGTCCGGGTTTCCTGCCAACGCTTAGCAGAGGCCACGGGAAGGCCGAGGGCAAGAAGCCTTCTTGCTCTGGGAAAACAAGCGGCAGCCCGAGTTCCAGTCTCCTGTCCTCCCTTCTGGGCCAGGGCTCAGGGCCACCGTCCTCCCAGGCGCCTGGCCAGCGTTTTCAGTCTTGGCAACCGGACCTGAGCTTGCCCCTCACCCCTGAGTCCCTTCCCGAGGCCTAGATTGATATGCGATCCGAAGCTCTGGGAAGCAAGACGTGTATTTTTTTTTTTTTTTAACGAGGGGACCAGGCCCTTGGCTCTGGCCTTTCTCGCGTTGCATCCCCGTGGCGCCAAACTGTCCCTACCAGGCCCGGATGCCCTGCAAGGTGCCCTGTGCACATGCGGCCCCGGCGGCGGCTCCCTGATGCAAGGGCTGCACACCGCCACCGCCTCCGAAGCCTCCCAGGTTGCTCACGTTCACAAAGGACCCAGCTCCCGACGCGCTGCAGGCCGGCTGCATGGGCGAGGCAGCCGCGGAGGACACCCCGCCGCCGCTTGGGGGGTACGCACAGCCGTAGCTTCCGCTGTAGGCCGCGGCAGCGGCGGCGGCGGCGGCGGCGGCGGCGGCGGCAGAGTTCCCATAGCCGTAGGCCGGGAAACTATTGTAGGAGTAGGCGCCGGAGCCCACGCTGTAGGGCGCGCCGTAGGCCTGCGTGCCAGGCGCGACGCACGGTTTGCCGTCCCGCACCAGCACCGGGACCGCAACGCGGCGCGGCGGCGGCGGCGGGGCGTGCGCGCCCATCTCCAGTGATTTGTCCTGCCGCTGTCTCTTGCACTTGTACCTGCGATTCTGGAACCAGATTTTCACTTGCGTGGACGTGAGTTTCAGGCTGCTGGCGAGGTGCTCGCGCTCGGGCGCCGACAGGTACCGCTGCTGCTTGAACCTGCGCTCCAGCTCGAAGACCTGGGCTTGGGAGAAGAGGACCCTGGGCTTCCGGCGGCTGCGCGGCTTGGGCCTCTCGCCGTCCTCTGCCGCCTTCCCATCTCCCGCCGTCTCTAGAGGCTTCTTCAGCGGGCAGCTTTCTGCGGGAAAAGCAAAACAGCGTCCGTTAGCTAATCCTGGCCTCGGCCTCGCTTTAGCCCCTTTTGGTGGTGGAAGTTCGGAACATGCGGTAGTAAATTCCTGGACTTTTTGGAAAGTTTGTGGCTCCCGAGGCCATGGGACCCTGCCACAGCCTGAGTACCCAAAGAACGCCCTCAGCGGGCGGAGACACATTCCGCAGGGTGGAGTAGTGTGCGTTTATTAAAATTTGAGCATCATCTGAGAGAAAAGAGATTACTCTGTATTAAGTGTGCGATTGGACGTGCTAATGACTATTTTCAGGATGAAAGCTTGCGACTGCATAACTACAGTATTTGTAAGCTCATTTACCTTCCATTCCACCACGAGTAGCTAAAGATAGGAGATGTATGGTATGGCGGGCGACTAGTGTCCATGGGTTGCACAAATGTTTTTCTGTTCAGAAATGTCTGAATATAGCGCTTGTGCATTGCCCAGGGACTGATTTTTGGCTTATAAAAGACTACATGCAAACAAGTACGTGGCAACATCTGTGTTACCTTAGAAAATAAGTTTGACTAATTTTAGACGGCTTTATGTCGATTTTAGGCTGGAGGAGGTAGGTGGGAGAGCACACGCCTTGGCCTCTGCCACATCAAACCTCGTCTCTGGGATGAAATTCTTCAGTTTTGTCTCCTCAGAAACAATTCCTTGGGGCTTTATTAAGTTATTCGATCTCCCTTCCTAATTCACCTCCAGTTCTAGGGGGCCAAGACATCGCACCAAGTTGGGCACATTCTCTGTTAGGCCTGCAGCCTGAGACACAAAGCAAAACATTTACGAATTTTCAAAAAATGCCAATGCCTCAGGCATGTGAGAGCTACAGTCACTCGGAATAGACAGTGTTCCCACACACTCTGCTACCAGCCCCTCTGCCAGACGCCCTGAGTATGAGGATGCCGAGCTTCCAGCAGAGAAGGAAACCACACAGCCAGTCTCTGTCTACCCTGAGGATGCGGACTTTGGAGACACAACCTGCTTTAGCTGCCTTTTTGGAGAAGAGGGGTGGCTACCCTGACCTCTGAGAAGCCACGTTGAAGGAAAAGTGAAAACAGTCAAGCTCCTCCCCATTTTGGAGGAATAGCTCTTTTTTGGGTGAGGGGGAGCAAAACAGTATGAGCCGTTAGGACCCAGCAGCTGAGCCCATGTCACTTAATCAGCATCAAGGCAGCAACTTTTCCTTCTCGAGGGGCTGCAACTTGTCGCTGCTCTGGTGAGGGTAGTTGTCAGTCACCCTTTCTCCCTGCCCCAGCTCCCTTGCAGGTACCTGCGCTTTTCAGGGCAGTCGTTGAGGAGGCAGAGGCGGGACCCCAGCCAAAGGTTAAGGCGTGTGTGGGGGGGGGATAGCCCATTCTGGCCAAGTCTGTGGGGGTGTTTGCGGGCGCCGCCCCCTGTTCCAGGTGTACGGTGCGTTTCCTTCCCCCCTCTACTCACTTTGGCTCCGGTCCCTCACGACCTCCTCTTCATGCTCTTTGGGCCCGCTGCATGAGTCTCGAAGGACCGTGTGGACATAGCTCTGGGGACAGAGCCCCGAATCTCCGTGGCCATCAGCTGCGGCTAGTGAGTTCAAATAGGACAATTTCTCGCCCTCTTCTTCCTCGTCCTCCTCCCCTCCGTCAGAGAACTGTGACCCCTCGGTTGCGGCCAGCATACAAGGCGCCGAGTGGAAATGGTGCTCCAAGTCCGCCTGCAAGTGAGTGCCGTGGAAGTGCTGCTGCTGTTCCAGATTCAGAATGTCTTTGACTGAGAAAGGGGTGGAGGTGACCGGGCTTGGTAACATCATCGGGGCCACTTAATTGTCCAGTCCAAATACTCAATAAATCCCGGCGGGGGCGGGGAGGCAGCGTGGCTGCTCCAGTTCTCCTCCTGGACTCTGCCGCTGCTGCGGAATCGGGCTTTTGACAGACGCGGTCCTGCTCCAGTCTAAATCGCCTCCATTGGCCAGGACCTGGGAGTCTGGGTTTTGTTACAGCCACTGCAGGGACTGGGGCCCGGGCTGCGAAGCCTCTGTCTGGGGACCTTGCGTCACGTCGGGGGCGGAGCCCGCACCCTGGCCTTCTCCCTCATTGGTTCTGGCTCTTATGGGCCACGCCCCCGGCGTCCAACGGACAAGATGTTGAGCTGCTAACAGAAATAGACAAGGACTTGGATAGGGTTTGGTAAGTCGCGTAGCTGTAGGACAGGCTGCATTGACCCAGTGTCCGAACTACCAATTTCCGCTCCACCTGGCTGCACCTACCCGACTGGGGCCAGTTCAAAGAGGTTCCCTATCCACGCGCCAAAGTCCGGGAAGGATGCCACAAGAGTGTGGTTTTTCCAGTTGCTGCGGGGCCAGGAAAACTTCCTTGCCGGTCAATACCTGGCGCTGTACCCACACGGAGACCGAGTGTTTTACCTATGGATGAGCGACGTGTCCGTTTCCGCCTTGTTGCCTTTGCTCAAGCTGTTCAATCCTCCTGGAATGTCTTTTCCATCTCTGTCTGGTCTCCAAGAGTGGCAAGTTGTTCTACAAGGCTTTACTCCAATACCACCTCCTCCAAGGAAGCGCTCCCTGATCGCCTAGCCAGAATTCCTCTTTCTGGCTTCTGAACTTGCAGCTACTGTTAGCAAAGGACGATCCTAGATCCTATCACTTGTCACCTCCCACTTAGTTCTTTAGCTGTGTGTGCCTTCCTGGTTGCCCCATTAGACTATGAGCTCTCTGAGGACAGGGTCCAGGTTGCATTTGCCCTTGCAGAGGCTGTACAGAGCAGGTATGTGAAAGACAGGATGATGGAGTTCTGACTATGCTTTGCTGTTCGACTGCTCTTGTTTGGAATTCTGGCCTAAGCCTTGGGCATTTCTCATTTCTTCATTTTCCTGTGCAAAGGAGACAGCAATACCCTCTTTGGGGTTGTTGCTTTGGTTAAATAAGCCAAAACATGCCAGGAGCTCAGTTCATGGTGGTGTGCATAGTAAGTGCTCAGTACATGTTAGCCACACAGCTATTCTGTGTCAGCGGTTGATGCAGTTTATTGACTGCATTGGTGATATGCTGGAGTGCTGCACACATGGGTTGTTGGGAGCAGGATCTGACCTCAGGAGGGAGATGACCAGTAATGGCTGCCATCTTTTCTGCCTATTGAATTCTGGAGCCTGGGTCTGGGCCTTGACTCTTTGATTTGCCTCTCTAATTTCTCTATCCATATTCTTTCTTGTGTTTTCATGACACCCTGGTTGTTTCTGGGGTCCCCAAAGATTCTGGAAACTCGGCCTGTTGGGAACCATCTTCTCGCACGGTGGACATTCACCTGCTTCCAAGATAGCCCAGAGAGTAGCATAGCAGCAGGCCCTGCTGTGAGACCTTGGATACCTCTGGCCTTGAAAAAAAAAATAGGGAAGGCTCCAGTCTGACTATGGTGCCCCTCATATGGCTGTCGCAAACATCTTCTTCTTTTGCTCCTGGAATGGCAAAATTGTAAGAAACCAGTCTCAGCTGGAAGAGATGGGTGGAAGTTGCAGGGACTGTGGACAGTGCCCTGGAGGAAGCGGCAGACTCTAGTATGAGTGAGGACAAAAGTGGAGAGCTGCCCCGTGGGACCCTGCAACTGGCCAGAGGACTTGATGTCCGAGGCCCAGGAGAGAAACAACAGCCTGCTGGGAGGGAAGAGGCGGGGCTCTTCAGGAGAGAGCGGAAATGCTGCGGGGAGACAACCCGAGGGCCGCCCGGGGAGCTGGGACGCCTCTCGGGCCACGTGCGTCGCTGAGAGTGCCCCTAGGGTAGCTGGGACCTGCTGGCGGTAGGAAAAGACGTCTGTGGACAGGGCCTTGCTCCGGGACAACCATCCCTCAGCCACCGGGCGCCCGATGCTTTTCTGCTTTAAATACAGAAACTATTGACGCCTCAGGCGGAGGTTAGTGTTTCCAAATCAAGCCGGTGTCTGCAGAGGGAAGAATGTGCTTGGTTTTGCTGCGGACCCGGAGGCTCGGGCGCAAAGATCCAGACAGTGGTGGGGGTGAGTGAGCGGCACTGCAGAGAGGGGGGACTTGGGTTTGTGCGCGTCACCTCCTACCAGAAGGAAGCTGCGCTCTAGCCTCAATCCCCTACCCCACCCCAGGGCAAAACTGTCGAGGGGAAATATTTCTGCTCCCCTCTGGTCCTCAATTTTCTTTGCCTTTTAGGTGACTTCAGGATTTGGACAAAAGAAAAATGACCAAAGCTACTGAAACTAGCCTTCTTTTTTCCCCCTAGTTTTCAACAGAAACTGCGTTTCTGCTTGCTGCAGCCCTTGCTTCTCAACAGCGCTTCGCTCCTAGGCTTTACCTAACGCTAGTCTAAAGAACTCGGGTCTTAGAACTCGACCCAGACAAAGCGCCGGTCCAGCCCTGAACTCAGTGACACGCCCAAGCACCCGCTGCAGCGGCCAGAGCCCACCGGAACGCTGTTTCTGCACACGCGGAACGCTGTTTTCTTCCACCCGCAGGCCCACTGGCGCGTACCGCCCCGCCCCAGGGCAAGTACCCTCTGGCCAGACCAGAGCGTTTCTATTTTAAGGACCCTGACCAGGTTGCTCCTCTGGAGGCAGCCCTGGGGACGCAGCCCACACGCCGCCTGCCTGTTCAATTGCAGTTCAGGCCGGGCTAGAGGCCTGTGAGGACTCCGAAAACGGGGAGTCCCGGCGAAGGAGCCCAGCCTAGCTTGCAGCTTCTATGCTATATCCCGCTTTTCTCTTCCCACCCCACATCCTCCAGCAGTGCTGATCTAGCACACAGGAGACTTCTATCGGGGTTTTTCTGAGTTAGGTTCGGGTCATCTCCAGATGCTGTCTCCTGGTTGCGCAGGCTGTGTTTAGTCTTCCGTTTCCCCGGTAGCGGTAGCGGGGCTTCCCAGAATGGATCCCAGCCAGGCCGGTCGGATGTAGATGACCTCCTTCGCGCTCCCAGGCTGCATCCTTAGACGCCCGCCCGCCCGTTGGGCCTATGCGCTGCCAGCCGCGCGCCGCTGTCGGGAGGAAAAATCAAGTGTGGCACTAAGTCAGCGGCCGCTTCGCGGGAGTCGCTTATCAGAGTGTGGGATCTGGTTCCAAAGTGTATCCAGTTACTGCAGCGGCGTTCTGGGCATTTGCATTCTCTTGTCTGAAAAGGCGATCTTTGAAATCCTGGAGCTGTGCTCGACTAATGATAGGTTTTCATTCCAGGCAGTTTAGCTAATTACTGTCAGATAAAGTCAATATGGCTGGATAATGAAAGCGTTTGATTTTATTTTAACCGTGTGTATCTGCCTTGGTATGTTTTTGTCATATTATAGATTTACACAACCTCCAATCGGGTATTTGATTAAAGATCATAACTACATGGTGGCAAATTCCATGTGTAAGGGATATGATATATAGATACGTAAAAAATAAAATTGTACCTTTCTTTCTTTAAAAAAGAGAAGATGCTAACCTTTTCAGAAATACATTATCAAGTGAATATGTGATAATTCTTTGAAAACTGTATACTGTTCTGGTGTTATTCTCTACACAAAATTTACTCAATGTGCATATAAATATAGGAGATAATAGTTTTATTTATACATGCTACTGCTTATCATGTTGCTTAAATAACCACTCAATTATGTAACCAGTGTTACAAAGAATTTGAAAGTATTATGGCTTTCTAATCTAAATGTAGCACCACAGTCAAAAGTAAATTTTTATACAGGTGCAGGTTGCCTATGATGAGTGTTATCATTATGTATGCCTAAAATGTACCAATAAATGTTTTGCTATTAAAAAGTAATTTTTATTAAAGCATGAAAAAAATCATCCTGTGATAACTCAGCTAGCCAAAACTAATATCACAGTTCAGGTAAAATTTTTATCTTTTTAAAACTGCTGTTCTAGAAATTTCATTTTTAATGATATATTACAAGAAGGAAAATGAGAGGATTGTTTTTTTCTTTAGCAGCAACACAAAATGAGTTTTTGTTCATTTGTTGTTCTCGGTAGTGGTGTGTGTATGTGTGGGTTTGGTTTTTAGTCAAGAAATGTCAGAAAGTTTTCCATAAGTTTTCAGCAAGCTAGAGGCAATCACATTTTAATTCCGAGAAGGGTGAATGCATTTTCTACTGGGTTTTCAACTGAGTTGGTTGATTCTGGAAAGCATTAAACTCTCTAATTTCTTGAGAATATTTGCTTCCTTTGTGAAGTAACTTTCTAAGAGGGATTTTTAAATGCTATTGTGAACATGTAATTTGTTTTGTGTGTTGTTTGCATACATGCCAGATTTTTCTAGGTGTTGTCTGGAATTGAGTTTTCTAAATAACATCCCATTTCTATCCGTGGGGAAAATATCAGTCCAAATTCAGCAAATTGTGTAGTTTTTGTAAAATAGAGGTCCTTGCTAGGAAGGTAAGTTTCAATTTCTCAGGGAGAGGACTTTCAACGTCCTTCTCCAAAAATTATAAAGATAAAAATGTAAATTAAGATTTCCTCACCGAAACTAATTTTATATTGTTAATAAACATTGGAGTCAGAAGGACTATCTTTGTCCAAAGAAAATCAATTCGATTTTTTCAAATAAAAACTCCTAAGTGAAGGACACCTGTATATAGGAATTTATTTGCACTGATGCGTGTGCTATTTGGGAGTGCAGTTTTAACTTGGGGGATTAAACTGGAATTTTGAATGCATTCCGTAACTTTTTTTCTTTAGTGTGAGTTTAACTTCCTGTAGCAAAATGTCAACGTCTATAAACTTTTAAAAATACAACTATAGATGAGCAGCTGCAGTCTTTGGCTAATTAATTCACTTAAACCAGAGCGCTTATCTGCTCTGTGCGGTTTGCTGAGCAGTGCGGGGGCGGCGGCGGGGGGGGGTCGCTTTCCAAAAAGCAGAGATTCTTCGTGTGTCTTGTTAATGCTATGTTCCCGGTATTGTCTGCTCAACCTCGAGCCCGCCACGAAGAACCTCGGTCTCCTGGGACGTAGAAATCTTTCCCCAAATCTCCCTAGGAGTTAGG